CAGTGTCACTGGCCCTCATATGTGGGATCCGAACCGGGGCCCTCTGGCATCCCAAGCGAGTTCTTAACCATCGCGCCACTCGGCCGGCCCGTGACTGGCATTTTTTTACTCAGCATAATGCTTCGCTGTTTTATCCAGGTTGTTGGCATATATCGATGGTTTGATCCTTTTCATTGCTAAATAGATTCCATGGTATGGATGTATCACAATCAATCATTCACCCATTGAAGGACAGCTGAGTTCTTTCCAATTTTTGGCTATTATAAATAAAGCTGCTGTAAGCTTTCATGTACAGGCTTTTGTGTGAGCATACATCTTCATTTCTCAGAGATAAATGCCCAGGAGTGCAGTTGCTTGGTCATGTGATAGTTGCATGCTTAGTTCTATTAGAAGACAGACTGTTTTCCAGAGTGGCGTACCATTTTACATTCCCACCAGCGTGTGAGTGATCCAGTTTTTCCATGTCCTCTCCAACAAGTGCTGTTATCACTGTTTTTTATTTTAGCCATTCTGATAAGTATGTTGTGATACCTCATTGTGGTTTTAATTTGCACTTACCTAATGGCTAATGACATTGAACACCACTTCATGTGCTTATTTGTTATCTGTATATCCTTTTGGGTGAAATGTCTGTTCATGTCGTTTGCCTGTTTTCTATTTGGATTGTTTGTTTTTTATTGTCAAGTTTGAGAATTCTTTATATATTCTAGACATTAGTCATTTGCCAGATATGTAGTTTGCAAATATCTTCTTCCAGTCTGTAACCTATCTTTTCATTCTCTTAATTAGGTCTTTTGCCGAGCAAAAGTTTTAATTTTGATGGAATTCATTATATCAATTTTTCCTTTTATGGATCATGCTATGTTGTCAAGCCTAGAACTATTTGCCTACCCCTAGATCCTGAAGATTTTCTCCTGTTTTTTCGTAAAAGTTTTATAGTTTTATATTTTACATTTAGGTTTATAATCCATTTTGAATTAAGTTTTGTATAAGATTGTATAAGATGTGAGACAAATTAGATTGCAGTTTTGTTTTTTGTTTTTTGTTTTGTTTTTTAAAGATTTTTATTGGGGAATTGGGGTACGGGAATAGCGCTGGGGAATTGGGGGAAGGGGAACAGACAAGTTGCTGTCNGGTGACAATGGTTAGTAAAATTACATAGGTTTCAAGTGTACAATTCTGTAATACATCATCTATATATCACATTGTGTGTTCACCACCCAAAGTATTTAAAGTATTAAATTATTAAAGTGGAAAGATTTCATGTTGACCTCCTTGCCTCTGGGGTAGAACGTGCTCTAAGTACCCCAGACATTAATGGCTCCTCTTTTAAGATCACCTCTCTCTGCCTTCACAGTCAGTTCTGTTGCCCAATAGCAAGCAGAAAAGGAATTTTCTCTATATTTCATGAAGACATGTCATGAGGGACACTCCCATGTCTTGTGAAAATTTTTATTGTATAAAGATATTTTTTCTCAGGTAAGGACTAAATTGAATGCTTCTGCCTGGGCTTTATGTTCTACTTCATAAAAACATTGAAAGAAGTAGTAAATTCAGATATTTGAGAGGAATCAAAAAGGAATAGAAAAATATGGGTTATTGTAACATCTTCCCATTAGTTCGTTTTCTTTTAAAAGAAATATTCTGCACATGATGTTTTTCCTCTGGGTGGCTGTTTTTGTAATACGGCATGTCCGACTGACTTTTCTCATTAGGATTTAGCACACTCTAGCGGACAGTAGCTTTCCAGTTTGGTGGATTTTTTTTTGTTTTGCTTTTTAAATCGTGTCAAATTACTTTATTGGACAATTCAGTGATGTGTTTACTAGATGCTAAAATTTGTCAATATTTATTTGAGTTAAGTAGTGACCCTACTGAGCAGAACTAACATTAGAGGCCGCTGGGGTGTTGTACATTTTTATATGGTTTCTTCAGTAGAGAGAAGAGAGGCTTTTCTATGGAAATTTTCCCCAGTGGCTTTCATCTTCTCTTGGGTAAAATGAAATTACAGGGAGGCCACAACCTAGAGGAACACTGGTGGTTTTCCGCTACCTCACACTCCTTGGTGCTTATGATATATTTTATGTTTCTCTTTTGGGACTCGAGCGTTTTTATATGCCTTTGTGAAAATTTTGACCATTTGTGTATAAACATTTTCGTATCCTGTCCTGGTGGATTGTTTTTGGAAATGGGCTTCTACCAGAAAAAAAGTAATTTTTTAAATTTTGTTTTTGCAGAGTGATGGTGACGATTTTAATTACATCATTGCGTTTTTCCTTGGAACAGCAGCCTGCCTTTACCAGGTAGGTCTCTCCCATTTTTAAGAAACCCTTTCACTTTATAGTTTATTTCAGTTATCAATTCTAATAAGTACTTGTGCACTTTAAATAAATAGAAATAATGTCTGAGTTCTTTGCCTCCCTTTTAATTTGAGCTTCTGTTAGCTTTGTGACCTACGTCCATTTTGAATGGACGTAGATCCCAGTGAACTTAATGTTAATGCTGTCCTATGCTGGGATTCAGTGGTGACATGTCATCTGCCTATGGCGGTAAGGGCTACTGCTAGATTTTATGGTGACTGATTATTCAGCTTCCAGAGTCTGCTAATACTCCAGGCTGAGGATTTTGTACTTTTGGGAAAGTCTTTGAATAAGAGTCAGCAAAAGCAGGATTTTAGAATATTTAATTTAGCAGTGATGAATAGGATGGGTTGCCAGAGTGGAGAGACTGGAAGAAAAGAAATTAGTTGGGAGGCGATTCCATTACTTCAGGCAGAAAGTAATGAGAGCCTAAAGTATGATAATGTCAGTATGATAATGTCAGTGAGGGTGGGGGAGGACATTGAGAAGGAAGAGTGCGAGGACTTGATAGAGTGGATGTGAGACTGAAGGAGGAGGAGGTTTTGCACTTGAATGTAGAGATGGGTAATCGTATTTCCAAGGAGAGAGGAGGCACCAATTTGTAGGGAAGGGAGGGGTAACTCTCCCAATTACCCAAACTCAAGAACGTCTTTGCTAAAACATGTTAGGACATTTTGATCTAACTTTTCTAAGTGACAGATTTCTCTGGCTTGCATAGAAAAAAATGTTAGAAAGATTCAGGACTGCAATTACAAGGCTACCTAAAACTCAGTACAACTCTCTAGTAAAATATTTTTAATAAATGTATTTGACTTTTATGTAAAGATGTATTACTTTAGTTTCAATGACCGCATTTTTTTTTTAAAGATTTTTTATTGGGGAATTGGGGGGATGGGAACAGTACTGGGGAATTAGGGGAAGGGGAACAGACAAG